CATGGTGGAGACTAGAACTGGGGGCATAAAGGAAAATCAAGATGGCGGCAGAGCAGGATACTTCAGCTGCAGCATGTTGGCTCTGTCCATTTCTTTCTCTTCTTAATTATTTTTTTCCTCTCTTGCTGTTTCTTTCCTTCACTCCCAGCATCGGCAGCCTGTGGCAGACTCTCGCCCCGGTCTCTCGGGCGGCCTGAGGCGGTTTCTCAGTGCACGAGCGGGTCCTGCCCGGGAATGTTCCGGAGACACCGGGGTTGGGGTGGAGGGACTGCGGAGCTTTGGCAGCAATGATGGATCGCAGCGCAACGCAGAAAGAGCGAGCGGTGTGGGAGGATCTCCAGGATCTGAGGCAGCATCGAGAATAGGCAGCTGAGGTCTCCCAGACAGCAAGCTAAGCAGAGGACTCGAGGACTGATGAACCTTCAACTAAATTCCTTTATCTTTCTGGTTTAAATTAGAATGGATTTTAATGTAAACTATTACCTTAATTACTTTGCTACTTATTACATGAATGCAATGGTTAACTTTTAAACTCTGATTCTCTCACTACTTTGTACCACGTTTTTTGTACCTCGGTACCTTTGTACCTAAAATGGCACCGTATGTGGTGACATTATACATTTTCACTGTAATTCTGTATTTGTGTACACATGACAATAAAATCTAAATCTAAAATCCAGAGGGCCAGGCTGATGCTTTGCAGACAAGATTCAAATCACATGGAAGGTAGCTAGTAGAATTTCAACTCAACTGATTAATCTGTAATCTATATTGTGATCTTGTGGTGCAGTGCCCCTATTACTAGGTCAGAAGATCCAGGTTCAAGTCCCACCTGCACCAGACATGTGAATTTACAGGTTGACGAAAAATAACTAGAACTAGGGAATACAATAAGATGTCCCCTGATAAGACGGAGATGAGGAGGAATTTTTTTCTCCAGAGGATCGTAAAGTCTGTGGAACTCTCTTCCCCATAGAGGGGTGGCAGCACAGTCATTGTAAATGTTTAAGGTCGAGTTAGATTCTTCACTGATGAGGCGGCACAGTGGCTCAGTGGTTAGCACTGCTGCCTCACAGCGGCAGGGACCCGGGTTCGATTGCAACCTTGGGTGTCTGTCTGTGTGCAGTTTGCACATTCTCCCCATGTCTGCGTGGGTTTCCTCCAGGTGCTCCGGTTTCCTCCCACAGTCCAAAGATGTGCAGGCTAGGTGGATCAGCTGTGCTAAATTGCCCGTAGCGTTCAGGGATGTGTAGATTAGGTAGGTTACAGGGGATGAGTCTGGGGGGGCATGCTCTGAGGGTCGGTATGGACTTGTTAGGCCGAAGGGCCTGTTTCCACACTGCAGGGATTCTATGATCTATGATTCTATGAAATATGCAGGAAATTGGACGCCAAGATATTTTGAAATGGTAGAGCAGGCTTGAGAGGCCAAATGGCCTGCTCCTTCTCCTAACTTGCAAGTTCACACCAGCCAAAAGAAACACAGCTCAGTCAACACTGAGGAGTGGACACAGCATCTTTGGACCTTGGATCAGTCTCTGTTGATAGGCTGAGCTATTCAGCTCTTGGCCTGCAGCAACATTGAACCTAAGAGCACAAGGCAATAAGGGAATGATGAACCTGTGACTGAACCAAGGTCCAGTAACTAAATGCACATTGTGCAGTGGACTCTAAGATTACAAGAAGATCGGGTTCATCGAATAACTGGCGAATAAATAAGACCCCGGATTTACATGGTAGCAAGTTAGAATGAAATTTCTCACAATGGATTTTTTTCCTTTGTAAATCACCCTTTTAAAGCTGACCAGGGAGGGGTAAGCATTGAACTCTAGACACTGATACTGAAGGGAGTAAACAAACAGCAAGCAATTCACCTGAACACAAAGTGGAACTGAACACCAGGCAGCCATCAGCTGATATGTAAATAGAGAAATGGGCTGGCCCTGTAGCCAGAATGGCTAAAGTTTGAACTCAACTGATCCTTAGGAATAAATCTAGTTCCCTCATGTGATCTTTGAGTGTTACCGGGATTATAACATGTGGTGATCATGCAATCAAGTACCACCACGGGGGTACGAGGGACAGAATTCAGTTTAAAGACTGTGGCATCAGTAAAGTGATCATGAGGCTATCAGGTTGTAACAGAGACCCACGTGGTACACTGAAATCCTTCAAGGAGGGAAACATGCTGTCCATTACCCGGTCTGGATCTACACGCGACTCCAGTGTCGCACCAATGCTCCTGGACTGCTACCTGAAGTCCACAGCAAGTTATTCTGTTGTATCAAACCGCAATCAGCACATGAAGAAGATAGTGCATCTGCTTTGTAGGACAAGCAGGGGAGCACATTAAGTGCCAGCCTTGCTAGTGACACAAATATTACAAAATGAATTACAAAACGAATCCTGAATGGGCTAAGAACTACATACACAACCAATTTAAGATAATTGAGCCCATAATGTGGCTCATTTATGCTTGCAAGAAGCAGTAACATACATAGGGACCTGTTAACTGCAAACAAATGTTCAAGTTGTACACCATCATTGATTAACCAGAAGCTTGGAGAGTCTATGCCATCCCATTGATTTCTCCATGGCAACACCTTGACCAGAGTTCACTTGCTATTCAATCAACACTCTATTCCCTGCAGCGTAAATTGTTGTGATCATTTGGAATTTGGCATTCTTGTATTTGTCCTGATGAAAGCTTCAGCAATGTCTTTCTTGTCAGCAAGATCCAAAACAAAAATATATATTTTCAAATTTATCTACGATTTTGGCATCTGGAAACACGGGAGATTTTACTTTCTGTGCTTCAAAGTTAATTTTTAAAATCGCCATTGGACGATGTCCACCATAGAACCGTAACTGCAAGTTTGGAATAGACAAGGAACCGCAACTGGCAGGTAAACAACAGCCAAATTCCAATGCTGACTCCAAACAGTGGAGAGTTCTCTCACCTCTCCCAGTCCTACAGACTTCAATAATAAAATAAAAACCCCATGGATGCCGGAGATCTGAGACAAAAATAGAAATTGTTGGGGAAACTCAGCAGGTCGTGGGAAGAAAACAGAGTCTTCATCAGAACTGGTTCATCAGAACTTTCTGATGGATCACCAGCCTCGAAATGTTAACTCTGCTTTATTTGCACCGATGCTGCCAGACCTGTTGAGTTATGCCAGCAATTTCTGCTTTTGATTCCTATTCACTCCAGTTTTGCTAGGCCTCCTTGATGCCACACTCAGTCTAATGCTACTTTGGTGTCAAGGGTAGTCACTCTCACCTAACCTGCGAAATTCAGGTCAGGAGCCGAGTGGCTCTGGCAGGTCACAAACTGAGTATCAGTGAGTAGGTTAACTCTGGAGTAAATGCTGCTCAGTGGTACCGACAGTAATAGCTAGCATCCATCACTTTGCTGATGATCGAGAGTAGGTTCCTGGAGCAGTAATTGGCCAGTTTGGCTTTGTCCTGCTTTTCTGTAGACAGGATATACCTGAGCAATTTTCTGGGTAGATATTAGCATTGTAGCTGCACTAGAACAATTTGGTTGGGGAGTGTGGCTAGTTCTGGAGCACAAGTCTTCAGTTCCATTACTAGAATGTTGTCAGGGCCCAGAGACTTTGCAGTATCCAGTGCCTTCACCAGTTTCTGAATATCCCATGGATTGAATCAAATTAGCTGAAGATTGGCATCTGTAGTGGTGGACACCTCAGGAGGGAGCAGAAAAGAATCATCCATTTGGCGCTTCTGACTGAACAACATGCAAATGTTTCAGCCTTATTCAAACACTAGGCTCTCTGCTTCATAACATGGGACATCGAAGTATGCAAAACCTCAGAAGTGCAGCATGAGATGGTCTGAACGTTGCATACTTTCCACTTGGCAGTAGTTTCCACAGCCCTTTACAATAATTACAGGGACAGAAACAGCACAGCGTTCCTTCATTTCTAATCTGTGCCTTTGCACATCAGCCATGTCTCAGTGGGTAACCGTCTTGTCTTGGAGTCAGAGAGCTGTGTGTTCAAGACTGACTTCAGAGCTTTAATGTTCTCACGAACGTTTCTTTGTGTACAGCCTGTTTGTTGCACAGTGCAGTCCCCTTTAAGATTTCTGTGCAGCTGTCCTCGCACACAATTTCGAAGGGGATGTTGGCAGTGGGCAGCCTGTTTGCCTTCCTACATGTTACGTTACTGATTGAGGCACGTTTGCAGTTGCAGACACTTGAGCGGGTAACCCATTGAAGTACTGTGGGAGTAGGGGGCTGGGTAGCTCAGTTGGCTGGATGGCTGGTTTACATTGTACAGCGATGCCAACAGTGATGATTTACTTCTTGCACTGGCTGAGCTTACCGTGAATGAGTCTCCTTCTCAATCTCACCCCTCACCTGAGGCGTGGTGACCCTCAGGTTAACCACCCCCAGTCATCAGAGGGAGCAGTGCTATAATCCTCTGGGAGTATGGTGTCTTTACTTTATTGAGTGCTACTTTGCCGGAGCTGCCATCTTTCAAATGAGAATTTAAACCAAAGCCCTGCCTGCCTTCAGCAGACATGGCACTATTTTGAAGCGTTCTCAGTCTCATTCAAAAGACAGCATTCTCTGACAATGCAGCACTCCCTGAGTACTGTTGAGAGCAGCTGCCTGGATTTTGTGCTCAAAATAGCTGGAGTGGGCTTGAACCCAAAATCTGGAGATAGCAAGAAGTGCCAATGCTGGAGTCAGAGATAACACAATATGGAGCTGGATGAACACAGCAGGCCAGGCAGCATCAGAGGAGCAGGAAAGTCGACGTTTCGGGTCGGGACCCTTCCTGTAGAAACTCCTCTAATGCTGCCTGGCCTGCTGTGTTCCTCCAGCTCCACACAGTGTTATCTCGAACCCAAAACCTTCTGCCTCCAGGGAGAGGGGGGAATTGCCAGGGGACAGTGACACAGCAGAATGACACATGCGGCCGCCAAAGGTGGTGTTGAAAAAGCTGTGAGATTTTGCGCAGCGCCCTTACCGTTGGCACGTTGCAGTGAGTAAGTCCAGTTCTCCTCATCAGGGTCTTGCTGTGCGCAAACAGATGCTAGCTCACCATCGCTGCGGAACAGCCGCTTACTCTGCTTGGTGAATGAGGCCAAGTGGAGAAAGCTCGAGGTGCGAGGGATGGAGCTGTGGTTCGGTTTCTTCTTCTTCTTCTGTGTCCCTGGGAGACAGTCCTTCTTCATCGCTTCGGTTGACCGTTCAGTGATGTACATTCATGCTTTGCTTGGGAAGAAGTTACACTTCTGAAACCCTCCCAGGGTGGCTCTCCAATCCAATCCAAATGGCAAACAGTCCTACAGTCAGACACTCACTTCACTGATCCACACAGGGCTCTAGTTGAGTCAGCCCGAATCAACATATTCAAGCAGGGCACAGCACAAACAGCTTCAAAACCCTGGCAGAATTCACCCTCAGAACAAGCATGCAACAGGAGGTCCCCAGCCAGGTGCACAGGAGGAGTATGTAAGACAACAACACAGAGTGTGGGATAGGATCCCACAGCAGGGTAACCTGTTACTCTCTGTCTGTCCTCTGTGACTTCCTTTACTGACTGATCAATGGATTTGCATCAAAGTGCCACTCCATGCAAACAGAAGGCACATTTAAACGTCCTGACTCTGGAGCTGTTCACAGTCTGTGACTATCCCTCTCCTGTCTGTGCAGCGCCACATCCGAAACAAAACATATCAAACAGATTTCTTCCTTTTATCCCAAGCAGCAAAGTTGTTGGCTCCTCGTTTCTCTTTTGGTGAAAGCACTTCACTCCGCTTCAGCAACTGGCTCAGCCAAAGAAACACAAACATACACACAGGAAAGACTCATCCCAATCAGAGCAATTCGCTATTCAGGACAGGAGAATGGGAGAGAGAGAGAGGGAGCCAAGGGAGTGTGACTGCTCCGAGTGAAATCTGATATGCAGACTTCTAAAGTCATAGTAACTGTCTCCACACAAACTCCACCCCCTCTTTCTCATTGGAACAGTCGTGTTTAACTGGTCAAATGTGAACAAGCAATACTCTTGAATAAAGCTACAGCGGTTAATAATAACCGCATAAGCTCAGTGAGTATTGCTGCCTGGTTGTGTTTTGGATCTCACTCCCTGAATCACAAGATAAACTTGCACACGGGTGTTTTCTTTTCAAATTTCCAGCGGTTGTGTCTTTTTAATCTCCACCGCCTCCTTTTTTTTTAATATCTAGAAGTTAACTGACAGTAAAAACACAGAGTCTATTCGCTCTCATTCCAGGGGGGTACAAAGTACAATCAGATTAAAGACAGGATGAAGCAGCCACTTCTAACTGACCCCTGACTCCTAAAGTGCTGTAAAAAAAAAGGGTGTATCCCCTAGTGATACCTCACTAAATGATTCAGTATGTGAACCAAATGTGAAATCCAACTACCCAGAATTAAAATTACCCACGGCTGCTGAGGCCAGTGTGGGCCCTGGCTGGTCTGGCAGACCGTGAGCAATGCAGGCATCATTGGTCTGCCTGCCATACACACTTAGCTGCCCTGCTTTGCTCTGTGCCAGAACCGACGCAGGAATGACGGGCTGAATGGCCTCCTTCTGCGCTGTAACAAATCTGTGATCCTATGCTTTCCCAACCCAGCTCCAGACCCCGACCCTCCAGCAGTTCTATCCCCTTCCCCCAGGCCCCCTCCAGCCCACCCTAAACCAAGGCTGTACACATGGGGTAGCTTCGACCTGCTGTTGGTTAGCTACATTTGCTGGATAGTTGGCTTGCGATGCAGTGTGTTACCAACAGCATGAATTCAAATCCTACACTGGCTGAGGTTATGAAGGACTCACCTTCTCAACCTCGCCCCTCATCTGCCGTACGGTGACTCTCAGGTTAATCCACCTCATGTCGTCTGAGGGAGCTGCCCTATGGTCTGGTGTGGCTATGGCGACTATTTTACTTTTGAAGCCGGAGACGGTGAATCTGAAGGGTGACTGAGCGTGTGTGATGGGCAGTCGGTGTGAACGAGTGTGTGGATGTGTACATGTGCAGGTCAGTGTGTGTGTGGGTGACTGAGCGAGTGAATGAGTTTGTGCATGCTCGAGAGCATGTGAGAGTTGTGTGATCAGGCGCAAGAGTTCACAAAAGGGGAAATCGCTGAAATACAGGTACTGAACCTGAGCGGACAAAATGAAAGAAAGAAAGCAGTTGCATTTATACAGTATCTTTCACAACCTCAGGGCAACCTAAAGTGAAAAATTCATTCATGGTGCCTTGTTGGTTCAGCCTGAATTCATTGCCCATCCCCTTTTGGGCAGAATGGCCAAGGAAGGCAGATTTCCTGCCCTATAGAACACCGGTGCGCCAGCTGGGGTTTCAATGAAGTACTGATGACATGTAGTTACTCTCATAGGAACAGCACTGAACACTGAGCACCACATAGTATTTCACACCATCAATCTCCCCTGATGCACCTGCTCAATGAGGTCCATCTGATGTCAACACACTGAAAGAATCTTTATTTGAGCTGATGAGTCAGCCTCCCTTCTTGCCGACTCATTCCTGGCTATCTCTTACTCTTCCCTGAGTCACCAATGATGTAATTTGATTGCAAAATGCAAGCAAAATCTGATACTTCGAACCAAAGAATTGATACCACACAGGAGGCAGCCACTCGGCCCATTGAGTCTGCCTGTTAGGTGCTTGTCCCACGACCTGAGCCTGTAGCCCTTCAGACATTTCCCTCTTCAATGTGTTTATCTAACTGCCTTTTTGAAAGCCTATGTAATTCCACCTCCACCACACTCTCGGTCAATGTATTCCAGAACGCAACTATTCATTACTTAAAAAATTGTTTCCTCATGTTGTTTTTGATTTTTTCTTCATCTAATCTTAGACCCATGTCCTCTGGTTGCTGATCCTTGCACCAACGAGAACAGTTTCTCTCTATCTAATCAGTCCAGATCGCCAGAGATTTTGAACCCCCTCCATTACAATCTCCTTGCAACATTCTGCCGTAGGAATAATCTTAGTTTCACCAATGCATTCACGTAGGTGTACAAGATGACGAAAGGCATAGATAGAGTGGATAGTCAGAGACTTTTTCCCAGGGTGGAAATGACTGTTACGAGGGGGCATAATTTTAAGGTGATTGGAGGAAGGTATAGGGGAGATGTCAGAGGTAGGTTCTTTACACAGAGAGTGGTGGGTGTGTGGAATGTGCTGCCGGCAGTGGTAGTGGAGTCAGATACTTTAGAGACTTTTAAGCGACTCTTGGATAGGCACATGGAGGATAGTAAAATGTAGGGCATGCAGGGTAGTTTGATCTTAGTAGGATAATAAGTCAGCACAACATTGTAGGCCGAAGGGCCTGTACTGTGCTGTACTGTTCTATGTTCTATCTTATTCTTGTACATCTGTTCTGCCACTCCCTCTAGAACTTTCACTTCCTTCCTGAACAATAATGCCTAGAATTGCACTCAATACTCCATTTGAGGCTGAGCCATTGTTTTTTTTTTGGAAAGGTTCCTCATAACTTGTTCCATTACACCAGCAAATTGTGATGCAGCATCTTTAACATATTAAAATGCCCCCGGGGTGTTTCAAAGGAACATTATCAACAAACATTGACACTGAACTACATGAGCAGACATACAGAAGCAGGAGTAGGCCATTTGGCCTGTTGAGCCTGCTTTGCCAATCAATACGACCATGGTTGATCATCCAACTCAGTCCCCTGATCATGCTGTGTCCCGACACCCTTCAGCTTAACAACTATAACTCCTTCTTGAAAGCATTCAATATTTTGGCCTCAACCACTCTCTGGGTGAAGACATTTCTCCTCATCTCAGTCCAGAATGGCCTACCCCGTATCCTTAGACGGTGACTCCAAATTAAGGCACACATCCAAAAGCCTGATCAAAGAGGTAGATTCTAAGGTGTGTCTGAATGGAGGAGAGACAGAGGGATAGAGTGATGGAGAGATTTAGCAGGACGAATCCAAAGCTTAGTATCTGGACTGCTGAAGGCGTGGCCACCAAGATCTCCTGGTGTAGATCTGAGTTAGAGTCACGGAGATGTACAGCATGTAAACAGACCCTTTGGTCCAATGCATCCAACCCGAGATATCCCAAGCCAGTCTAGTCCCACTTGCTAGCATTTGGCCCAAATCCCTCAACTCTTCTTATGTGGGTACCCATCCAGATTCCTTTTAAATGCTGTAATTGTAGCAGCCTCCACCACTTCCTCTGACAGCTCATTCCATAAACGTACCACCTTTGCATGAAAAAGTTGCCCCTTAGGTCCCTTTTATATCTTTCGCATCTCACTTTAAACCTACACCCTCCAATTTTGGACTCCCTACCCAGGGAAGATGACCTTGGCTATCTATGCTCCTCTTGTACTTTAGGGAAGGAAACTGCCATCCTTACCAGGTCTGGCCTACATGTGATTCCAGACCCACAGCAATGTGGTTGACTCTTAACAGCCCTCTAGGCAATTAGGGATGGGCAATAAATGCTGCCTAGCCAGCGAGGTAGATTTTGAATCAGTAAGGAAATTGAGGGTTATAGGGAAAAGGTCGGAACGTGGAGTTGAGGATCATCAGATCAGCCATGATCTCATTGAACAGCGGAGTAAACTCAATTGGAGTAGAAGTTGGCCATCTCTTATGGTCTTATCAGTCCTGATCTGTATGAGCATAGTTTAACCACTCTTGCATTTGCTGACCTTTGCTACAAAGTCCTCTTTAAAGGATTTCCAGACACAACTCCCCTACAGGCACACCTGCCTCTACATTCCCACCCACCATACTCTAGACACACATTTTCTGCTACAGTGCTCTGATGTGAGGACATGAGGTGGAGCAATTCGGTAATCCATTCCCATGCGACCCGGGATTGCCTATTTCTGTCGAGGGGCAATTCCATTACACACAGCGGTGTTCCTGGAAGCAAAGACATCTCATCGATTCTTGATTCGTCAGCCAGGAAGGGCCAGCCTCGACATTTAAAATCATCTAATTTTCTCAGGGCAACACTTAAACGTTTCCAAACTCATCAACTCCAACTACCAGTGCAACTTGGCATCTCAAATCTTCTCTTCAAAGATTCTCTCTCCAAACACCATGTTCAGTTCTACACTGACATCATTGACTGTTTTACACGCCAGTGTGAAAATTTCACACATTCGACTGAAGTCCTAGAGAACAGACCAGTTCTTGTCGAAATATTTGTTTTTTTAAAAACACACACCACAGCATCTAGGAGTGGCTCACTTTAAAATAAATTTGTTGCTATTTGCCACATTAGACTGTTGCTGGTTGTTTTTAAAATTCTCCTTGTTTTCGCATCTCTTCATGGTGCCTGCCTCTCCCTCTCCCTGTAATTTCCTCCAGCCACACATTCTGCCACAGTCTCTGCAGTTCTCCAATCCTGGCATTTTGTGCAGCCCAATTTTCTTCGCCCTACCATCCATCAACCATTATTGTTTTTACCTGTCGTAGAACAATAAACAATGCAAACATTTCTTGCCAATGCTTATAACTGATGCTAACTTGGTTAATCATTGATGTGACATTGGATCTGACCATGTTAAGGTGGGAACCATAAGTTTCTCTGCTGATAACTGCTGTGTTTACACAGTGCGTTGGCGAACCATACAATCAAGATTCCAGTCAATACTTTGGCCAGGAAGAACCCTGTATTAAAACAGAGCAGATTAAACAGAGTTCAGCACAACGAATACAATCCTGAGTTCCAGACCTACACTAGGATTTAAATTTCTTTTTATCTGTTCATGAGATGAGGGCATCGCTGGCTAGGCCAGCATTTATTGTCCATGCCTAATTGCCCAGAGAGCATTTAATCACATTGCTGCGGGTATGGAGTTACGTGTAGGCCAGACTAGGTAAGGATGGCAGTTT